ATCAGTAAGGTTGTAATTAGTTTGATATTAAAAAATTTACGTAATTCATTTTGCAGGATATTTAAAGAAAGTATAGTTATGAACAAGATTGATTGATTAAATAAAATTAACATGTATTACCTTGTAATCCAACATTTTCAGTACCAATAAGATCATGAATTACATGATCTATACTCTTGAAATATTTAACGGTTTTAACGTGCAGCTCAAGAGTAGCGTCCTCATCACAAACAATAAGGCCTTTAGGGTGTAACTGAATCGCTGAGACAGTCCACTATATGTAAAAAAAGCAATTTAATTTTTCACATTTAAAAATTAGAGTATAAAATAGGTGTTTATCTACGTACCATATGATTAATACCTACACCAAAATAGCAATTAAAATTATAAACTTTCAAAGAATTGATCGAGTTATAAATTTAAATTGTTTACCTTCTTCAACACATTTCGCTAAAGCTAGAGCTTTGTGAGCTCCTGTGATGATGATAGCAACTTCACGAGAATCCATTACGGTACTGATCACGTGACGACTTTAGCACGTGAACCAAACATTCTTATTAAATTTGAAATAAAACTCACCCCACACCAACAGTTAAAGCCATTCTTGGAACTTTACTAATATCACCATCAAAAAATCGAGAATTTGCAAGAATAGTATCATAGGCTAAGGTTTTAACACGAGTTCTTGAGGTCAACGAAGATCCGGGTTCATTAAAGGCAATATGGCCATCGGGACCGATTCCTGCATTACGCGAACATTTTGTGCCAGCTACACTAACATCAAATTTCCAAAACAAATAATATGAGCCTTACCTCCTAAAAATAGTTCAACACCACCAAAAGACTTAATTTTATCTTCATATTTCCTGCATTCCTCTTCAAGATCATCAGCATTACCATCGAGAATATGGACATTTTGAGGAAGAATGTCAATATGTTTAAAGAGATGATGCCACATGAAAGAATGATAACTTTCAGGATGGTCTCTAATATAATTTAAAGGTGCATAAAGTTTTTTTTTTTTTTTTTATAATAAAAAAGATTTACAATAATTACTTTGTACAAAACCTACCTCGGTAAGCCAACATATTCAT